TAATGTACTGGACTTCCAGCATAATATACTGGTCCAGCATAATATGGTGGAGGTTCATACACAGATGCACCAATCTCCAATATATTTATGCTGGAACTTTTCGTGTTGCAGCAAAATAGTGACTATTCCTCAATAACTTTATAAACGACGGCTATTTTTCAATTACCAGTCCGAAAATTGACTAGCCCATACTATTTTAACGATAATATTACTAGTGAGCTGAGCTGTTACAACTTTACCTTTCTTAGACCCCAGTTGTAAAATCATAGTATTTGGTTTGATATTATTGTAAATGTGTGTGGGGGCTAACCCAGAATGTAAGGAGAAATTGGCGAGTGTTAGACTACAGTATATGACATTTGCATAGGGAACAGCTAAAAGACAGGTGAAAGGCCAACGCCAAACCACACCCACCAGAGAATTTTACATAGCAACAATTCAAGATTCTTCAGTAAATCAGTGGCTCTCTAATTAGGACCTGAAGAGAGAAAAGGAAAGCTCAATATGCACACAAATCTATGAATAATAGGACACCATTAGCCACCATTGTGCTCTGTATTTTCTTTGCTTTTTCAGAGTTGGGATTAAATTATTAATCTGATTCTATGTACTATTTGCAGCCTCTGCCTCTGCAGTAGGCGTGGTTTGGGCACTCGTTCCACTAGACTTTTGGAGCTATAATATATTCCAGTAAGTATCCCAATGTTTTAAGAAGCGAGGACATGAGACAGAACGTTTTACTTAATATGAGCATGACGTAAATGACATAAAAATATTGAATTAAAAGATTAAGAAAATTTAAGAGGGCTAAAGAAACTCATAGAAATTTTCTATCATGTTTTTACAAGTATGAACCATGCCTAATATAGTTTGGAGACGCATGCGCACAAGAAGAAGCTAGCTCTAGGCTCGATTATGTGAGTGGTACACAAAGAATATCGCAAATTAACTCGTGAATATGGACCGGTTGAATGCAGTTTAAGGGGCTTGTTGATGACCCATATGGAACTTAGTTCGAGTGATAGGGCTGTACAAAGTTATTAATTGGTAGTTGAAAAGATTATAAAGCCATGTATAAGGTGTAGAGATAATTTTAATGGTACGAGTCATGTTGGAAAAAACTGTGTGAACTTAATCTAAAATAGATAATATCATATTATATTAAGATTATCTTTAAAACTGACTTAAACAACAATTTCATTATCAAGAAATGCTCAATTAAAACCATGCCCTATAAAATCTAAATAATAATATGATCCCCTCAAAAAATATTACTAAGTCATGTCAATCAGAATAGAAGAAAAAGAGTGTGAAACTGTCACATAACAAGTTACCAATTCATATAAGAGGAAACAACAGTGTCAGCAATGTTCTCAAAAAGAAGAAAAAAGAAGCTAACAATGTCAAAAAGTGTACTAATCATGACTCTTAACATTGAGCCAATAAATCTTGGAAATGGCTTATCATTAGAGATTATGGTAGACAGTTCATAATGGTTAATCCATAGTCTTCCCTTTTGTTGAAATCTTGAAATTTTTATAAAATAAATACACCAACATATGCTTAAAAGTCAAAAAAATCATGAATTTTTTTCCTCCACCGACTGCTAAATATGTACCACATGTCTAGGGTCAAAAGCTTTGTTGAAATTCTGGGTATACCACTAATCTATCAACAATTGATTACTTATAAAGTTTTTAAATAAATATTTTATTTAGGGGTACCAACTAAATGTCACGGACCAACTAATTTTCATCTACAATCAACAACTTGGAGATTTAAACAGAAGTATTATGTTGAATGAGCTAGAGATGTCAAAATCAAGACCTAAAACCAAAGAGCTTAAATCCAATTAACAATCTTGAAAAAACCCTTTAGTAATTGATAGTTAGGTGATGAGTAAGCAAAATTTGCTTTGTATGGAGGATTAAGAATTAATCTGGAAATAATTTTAAAAGATAGCGTGTTTAAAATGTAACTACTTTTTTTAATATTATTAACCTACCAGTGTCCCCTTGCTGATGTACAAAGTTAAAATTTTTGACGAGTCTTTTAAAAATTTTGAGTTTCAATAATTTTCTTGTTGTGCATATATCACTTTTAGCTCGCATTAGAAACTATTTACATTCGGTAACCGAAAAAATATTCAAATTTGTATATAACATACAGAATGTATATATATATATATATATATATATACAAAAAATATACATTTTTTCAACTATTATTTTGAGATCGGCTATACAGTGTCATGTTCCCTTCTTTTGATCGGTTGAAAGCCCAAATAAATAGAATCAGTTTGTGTCGGGAGAAATTAAAAAATAGCCAGATTTACAAGTGGTCATTCAAAAATAGCCATAGTTTCAAATGTAATCGAAATTTAGCTACTTTTCATGTAAAGATAAATCTGAACAAAAACACTGTTCAAAATCCGGAAAAATAATCCAGCATAAGTATACTGGAACTCCTGTATAATATACTAGAGTTCTAGTATAATATACCGATCCAGCATAATATGCTGGAACTTTACGCGTGTTGGAGTCCCAACATAATATGCTGGAAGTTCATACACAGGTGCACCGATCTCCAGTATATTATGCTGGAACTTTTCGTGTTGCAGCAAAATAGTGACTATTTTCCAATGAATTTGCAAACGCTGGCTATTTTTGAATAACCTGTCCAAAAACTGACTAGCCCGTGCTATTTTCACGTCTGTGTCCGCTGAGACATGGACTATAACACACTTGCAGTTTTCCTAAATCAAGCTATAATACTCATTGATTTCCTTTTTAGCGTGACTTGGAAAACAATAGTAGCTCTTACTAGTAAATAACTGGACTAGCCCCAATAGAAAATTAGGAACAAGCAGAAAGAAAATATTGGGACAGCTTCTAAATTTTGCTCGTTTCTCCTGGTATAAGAAAAGTTTCAGATGGGGATATGGGGAGTAATTACTTTTGTACCGTAAGATAAAGTGATAAAATTATTCATTTTCTACAGTCTAAATACATATATGGCCCCTTAAACTTGCTCGGATTTCCCGTTTAGACACTTAAACTCAGCCTATCAGATAGGGGTGGGCATTCGGTACTTCGGTTTGGTATTTAAGAATTTCGGTTCGGTATTCGGTTTATCAATTGTGTATACCAAATACCGTACCAAAGTATTTCAGTACGATTCGGTATTTCTTATTTTGTTTCGGTTCGATTTTGAAACGGTTTCGGTTTAAACCAAATATTCACTGTCTCCCCCACTCCATTAACTAATGTAATCCATGTTGTTTGATATTCCACCAAAGATCAATCTTAAGTTCTCTAAGTTGTGTACAGAGAAGAGACGAAATGCAATACACTTTGAGTTTGAGTAGAAGAAGATGAGTCAATGACTGTCGGACTGCAATTTGCTGAGATTCATAGTCGTTAGTGTGTGAAAATGATCCAACTAATGTGTTCTTTAGTCGATGAGTTTCATTCTTGCTTCAAATTGTTAAACTAGGTTGTTTATCTTATGTATCTTATTCTGTGAACGATTTTCGCTCTTTGTGTAATTTATGTTATTTATTTTGAGGCTTTATAGTAAATACTGTAATCTGTATATTTTTCTTTATCGGAGAATTTTTAGTTTGTTCAAGGCAGGCATATTTTTTGGTTTAAGAACTAATACAAGTCAGGAGCAAAGAATGATTGTACCACAAGACTTACAACAATAGCAAGTTGGAATCCGCTATTGTCACTCATGAATGTTTGATCATACAATTAAATATTTCCTATTATGTCTTTTTCGCGCTCATCTCGACCAATACTGTATAGAGAATGGTTGTACTTGTCACTCATGACTAAGCCTAAGGGTAAGGGATTAAGGAATTAGGGGTTTTGGACTTTTAGGGTTTGGGCTTAAGGTTATTGGGCTAAAAAATAAAAATAATGTTGGGCTTGGACTAAACTTTTCGGTATTACGGTATACCGAAATATCAAAAATTCAATACCGTATACCGTACCGAATTACCGAAATACCAAAATTTTTGTACCGAAATACCAAAAAAACCGAAACCGAAGTACCAAATTAATTCGGTTCGGAATTCGGTTTTTCGGATTTTATGTCCACCCCTACTATTAGATATGAACATAGTATTATGTTCAATTGGAACAAGGTTGAGTTCAAGTGTCTAAATAGGAAATCAGGGCAAGTTTAAGGAGCCGTATATGTATTCAGCCTTTTCTAAAACTAATAGTTAGACAAATGCATCCCCATCTTTAAGGCAAAGGGATTCAACTTGCCTTGATCACTGACATTATAAAACTTGTAGTTCCACACCACACCTCATCCTTGTATGTTCAGATTATACACTGATATCTTACAATGGATATGGGATACTTTTCAGCAAGCTTTTCCAAGGATTGAACAGTTAAGTGAATTCATGGTAATGTACTAAAGCTCAGGTCCATTGTGAGTCTTTGATCATGGTCAGTAACTCAGTATCACCAGACGACAATGGCGAGTTATTTGGAAGATTACACAAGTTGTTGGACACATAATGCTCTTATGCAGAAGCGGCAAAACAGTCCCTTCACTGCTTTCGTGAGGTAAATCAAGTCGCAGATTGGTTGACAAGATTTGGTGCAATTGCAGGACAACATTTTACTTGATAGGTTCGCAGTTCCAAGCTTGGAGGGTTCTATTTTCATTCTTACTGGAAGAGTACCATCTGTTCTTCTCAACGCACAAAACATCCTACATTCACGCAAGGTCTGGGGAAGGGCGCACCCCCAAGGGGTGTAATGTAGACAGCCTAGCCTAATGCGTGCATTAGTGGCTGGTTCCACAGTTCGAACCTGTGATTTATAGGTCATACAGAGACAACTTTACCGTTGCTCCAAGGCTCCCCTTCTACCATCTGTTCTTCTTGTTTTGTATGTTCCAGGTGTCAGTAAAATATAACAAAACCTTACTGGTGTAAGGTGTACCAAAAAAATGAAGAAAAATCAACATAGCACAGCAGACAAGATCAATTCAAATACATTATATTCTCAGAGTTAAGATAGCAGCATTCTAGCATCACTTGCCATTACAAAAAAAGTGCATCAATGTTCCCCCGTGAGAAAATATACATTACACAATTAGGCAATTATAACCAGTAGCACCCAATCCTAAATACAAACAAAACAGTTAACTAGCAGTAGTTGGGAAAGGATTATAGCCACTTTGAACCATATCTTCTAAAGGACCAAAGAGTGGTTTAGGGAGATTGTTCCATTCATACCAATCCCAACCATCACATTTCTCAGGTTCAAGTGTTTGAGGATTCTGACTGGGATCAGCAGGGACTGCTCTCATGAATATGCAAACTACGTGCACTTTTTCTGAGATGACATTGTTGGTCACCGTTAGATACTCTGTTTTATCAATATCCAATCCTGTTTCTTCCTTCACCTCCCTCGTTGCACAGTCTTCAAAACTTTCCCCTGACAAATAATGATCAAATAATAAAATTGGCTAAGCATTTAACTGAGGATTTGTAGGGATGGCAATGGGCAGGGCCTTAATGGGGCAGGGCCCGGCAATACTTAAATGGGGCAGGGCAGGGCGTGTCAAAAACACTTTTTTAGAAAAATTAAAATAGGGCAGGGCAGGAATAGGTAAGGAGTTTTGGTTCATTAAAGAGGTCAAAAAGTCATAAAAACTTGAATAGAATCTTGCAAAATGAAAAAAAAAATAAAGTTCACAAAAATGAAGGAGAGTCTAAATAGGGCAGGGCTTAATAGGGCGGGGCAGCATGGCAAAACTTGAAAAATGCTAAATAGGGCAGGGGTCAAAAGCTTAGCAGGTCACAGCTTGCCCTGCCCAATTGCCATCCCTAAGGATTCGCTGCAAGACATCTCTTTTTGGTTTTGACATTGTCAACAGCGTTAAAAATTCATGGAAATGAAGCATGAAAGCAAGAACTGATTAACAAAGGTCTAATCAAGATTAAGCATAAGTAAAAGTTCAAAACCAAGCTGTCTGCTGCTCTTAATAAACTTATAAAATTTATACTACTGTTTGGAAAAAAATTTGACTTGTATGATTGATAGTCAAAATATCCAACCATACTTGTCAAAAGGAAAGAGCAAGTGTGTTTATTTCGAGCAATACTTGATTTCTTTGACAAAGATCTAGCACTACTCGGTTGTATTACAGATTTCTGGATTATATTTCTATCACAGAAAGATAAGAATCGTCTCATCTCAAATCATATATTTGTATTTTAGGTGTCATGCTGAAACAATGTCCAATTTCTGGGGCAACAAAAGAACAAAATCTATTGGCTTTATGTTGTCTATGGTTTTAGACTAGTAAAAACACTTCCACTTCAATTCTGTCTAAATTATAATTCATGAAATTAATTACAAAATCAAACAGGAGAGTACTACCTTTCAAAGGAACAAAGAAAACAAAGAGTAATAACAAGAAGCGACTTGATGGAAAAACTTAAAAGGATTTTTCCGCTTCTTTTGGCCCATCCTTGGAGATTTAGCAAATGGACAATTATGGCTGAGCGCCGGCCATTGCCTGGAGCTCCTACACTGCTTTCAGTGTTGCCACAAACCCCCTATCTGTTGTCACCATCTAAACCATCCTAATGTGAGGCTACCTTATATCCTTCAACAACCACCAATCACCCGTTGCATGCAACTTAAACCAGTGATAACACACAGTCATGAGCCATTGGTGGAGTTTCATGAAAGACAATTTCAAATGGTACAAGCCATCAAGAGCTGCTGGATTTTGATCCTATTCTATTTTGATCATTCAGATCAATGTACCTTTTTATTAAGTTTTGACTTGAGGATGATTTCTTGAAGGTATGTAAAACCTAAGTTGCGCGGACTCTTCGATTTTGGTGCCGCCCCCGCCCCGATATGAGACGGGGACGGGAGCGGGATACGTCCCGGATTCGGTCAACTACTTCGGACACTTTGACCGGAGTCCATCGACAAATTTGGGAGAAAAATTGAGATTTTAATTTCTCAATATCAAAAATAAAATAGATTTAGGAGAATGAAAGAATAATGTCCATCTTGGAGAATTGAAAGATTGAATTCTACAATATTCATGTAAGTTTTTCACAGAATATTTCTCAAAAATTTATAATATTTTTATAGCTCTATTTTTATTAGCCGAATCCCCGCACCCGTATCCATATCCGGATCCGCACCCCCGAATCTTAAAATTTAGATTTTGCCGAATCCGATACTCGGATCCTTCCCCGTATCGGATACCTGCACCCAAGTCCGAGCAGCTTAGTGTAAAACACTCTATGGTTTTATTTTCAATTAGAATCCTCTCTTTTTCCGGTTTGTAATGAATTGCCTCTACTAGCCGCAATTCTCTTAGCAAAAGAGGCAATCTTTTCAGTAGTCTTTGCTGTAAAAAGACCTTTGTTTGTAGATAAAGCTACCATTTCTCATACTAGGCCAGGTGAGTAAAGGGCATGTAGATATGGACTTTGGATTAGCCAACAGAGGCAGAAGGAGCGTAGAAGTAAAAGGTTCAACTTAACCCAGTACTTTTGACATAGAGTATAAACATATATGTAAAAGTAACTAAAAATTTCAAATATAAAACTATGAACCCATGATTTCAGAAGTGCAATGGGTTCAGTAGTAAGAATCTCAAAGTTGAACCCATTAAATGTAAATCATGGATCCACCTCTGGTATTGGGCGTGCACATACAGATAATGATGAGTTGAAGTCCAGGGCCATTGACAGCAAATACAGGTATATACCAAAATTTTGCGAGACTCGTAATTACAGTTCTAATAATGCTAGCAAATCTCAAATTGAACTCAGGAACCTTGTCAAATAGAAATACAAGGAAAAAGATAAGGAAGTGAACAGGACAAGGTGTGCCAAAAAGAGTTTAGGTTCAAAAGTAACAATCTACAGGGCTGTCTAACAAACAACGTGCAGCCTGTTGATTTAGATCCTCTAAACCCTAAAAGTCAATGCAAATAATGAATCAAACCAAGAATAAATATTGCCTCAACTTCGTATTCAGAATTACAAGGCTGATGTGGAATCTAAGTTTAGTCTGCAGCATCAGCTCGGCTATTAGTACTACTCTAGAGGCACAAATTAATCCTATTTCAAAGCTTTTTGAAGCAAGATTTAACCCGAAAGTATGTTTCTTTTATACTATGATGAGCTGCAGGGTAAGAATTTGATAAATTGTATTTCTCATGAAGATTTGTAATATTTTGTGAATAAAAGAACTTTTCTTTCTAAAATACCCTAAAACTACTTCAAAAAGTCAATATTTCACCCAAAAAACATCGTGATTAAAATTTATGGTGATCAGAAAGAAAACAAAATAAATTTAAGTTGCTGTTTGCTCGTGGAACATTTTTCACAATCTTAGAATTTTTTTTTCCTTTCCTCTTCAAAATAAAGGTGATTATTTAAGAAGCTTTTGCAAAAAGCTTTTAATCTTAATCTTATCTTTTTAAACAAAAACCCACAAAAAATTATATATATGCTAAATCGGCTTTCAACTTCAACTTAAAAATAAAGTAAAGATACTATAAATTTAACTGCTCTACGCCTAAAAATGAAGTAGTAATAATAATAATAATAATAATAATAATAATAATAATAATAATAATAATAATAATAATAATAATAATAATAATAATAATAGGTACTAACCGAACTCGAGGTGGCCGCCGGGAAGTGCAAAGGTACTATGGCCGATGGCGGAGAGGCGTTTCCCTAACAGAACTTTACTTCCCTTTAAAAGAAACACCGCTACTCCGACTTTCGGCGTCGGCGTTGCGGTTACTGGCGTTTGCTGAGCACCGTTTTCCATTTTTCGGGTACCGGAATAAATATTACGGGAAGCTTTAAAATGTGTGGGGAGTATTTATAATTTTGAAAAGTTTGGAAGTGGGTCCCGCTACTTTTGGATACCCGCCAACTTTTTGAAGAAGATATACGGTCATACAGTCAAAATAGCCGGGCTAGTCAGTTTTTGGATTGATCATCCAAAAATAGCCAGCGTTTCTTAAGTCATTGAAAAATAATCATTATTTTACTGGTCCAGCATAATATAATGAAATTCGGTGCACCTGTGTATGAACTTCCAGCATATTATGCTGGACCGGTATACTTTGCTGGTTCCAGTATAATATACTGGAGTTCCAATATATTATGATGGAGTATTTTCCGAATTTTGAACAGTATTTTCGTTCAGATTTATCTTTACAAGAAAAGTAGCTAAATTTTGATGACTTTTGAAACGTTGGCTATTTTTGAATGACCACTTGTAAATTTGACTATATTTGAATTTCTCCCGTCATACGCGGACGCCAAGAAATGTAATGTAGGCCCAATTGTAATAATAAGAAGGGGTTTTCCTATGCACTATATGAAACCTTATTATCAAAATTGTCCCAATTTTAGATATTATCCACCCTAAATAAGTTTTGCTTATAATTTATATACAATTTATTATTAGTGCCTTAAATTAGGGGATTAAATTACACTATTTTCCTTTTTTTTTTCTCTCCTCTTCTCTTTCCCTATTTTCTGTCGCGTCTCTCCAGTTACTATCTATTATTAGTGTCTTAAATTAGGGGATTTAGTTAGGACCTTTTCCTTTTTTTCTCTCTTCTCATATTCCCTAATTCATTCATACATTTTTAAAAGTGTTAAACAAGTGAATACACCAAAACTCATCATCGAACCAGCCTAAGAAACAAGAAATCAAAAAATTCTTTTAGCTAACGTCCAGATCTATAAGGTCCCAGTCGAGTGGCCCGCGCTTTTTCTGTTTGTTCCTATTTGATCAGAGCTAAAGAACTTTGTGCTTGATTATGCTAGTACAGGCTTTATCCTTCAAGGGTACCTTCGACACTAACTTTTTCAAGACTGAAGGATGCAACATCAATGCCTGCTTCATGAGATCTGTTGCAGAAGCTTTTAAATTTTCTGTCTTTATATCTTTAGCATGTTCCTCATTTTCCTTTTGATAAGTATTAGTTGGATATTTTGACTATCACTCTTATATTGATCGGAGAACGGCATAGTAACGGCACACGACAAGAGAATATGAGTAATTTGGAAATAACCACAAAGAATTATCACTCTTATATTGATCAGAGAACTGTTCAAGCCATGTATACTCCTCCGGTCTTAAAGAATAGTATTCAATGCAAAACAAGACTTCATTGGATCGTCTGAATCTAGTAGAAGCAATATAAACGAAAAATAAATTTTATAAAACTAATTATATGATGGAGTATATAACTTATCTATGACTTTCATACATCATTTTCATTCCTATAACTACAAGTAAATTATAATGGATATTTTTGTAACTATAAAATCATCTCATTAAAATTAAAACAAGTAATCTAAAAGTTAATTCAATCTTCCTTCTTATAAATATTGTTAAGTATGAGGCGAAATACATAGATCGCCCCTTACCAATTTTCATCTAGCCCCCAACTATGCCTAGTACTTACTTTGTCCAGAGTCAGACTTACGCTATACCGAGAGAGGTTACCGGTGTTAGGATATACTATAAACCATGGGTATTGTTATAGTATTCTTTATGGAACAATTGTTTATTTATTTATTCAATTCAATACAGTTTTATTTTAATAGATCATGTATTTTTTTGTGTGTTCGTTGCTTATATAGTAGATGATTGAGTGTATAGAGTTTAGCTTATACACGGAAGATTAAATCATCGGTTCTTATAAGTCATGAAGTTTATGTTCACAACCTAATGATGGAATTGGATAAGCCATCGGAATGGTTGTAGCACAAGATTAAATATAATTTATCTTGATTATGGGAATGATCTAATTCCAACTTCTTGTGCTAGTACATTTTGTATGTATTGAACGGATCAAGTAGAGATATGTATTTTATACTGACTTAATAAAATAATTTCTCTAGTCCATTCAATGTACTTATACTTTTAATCTTGATATAATTATTATTAGTTGTGTATATCATTTATTGTTTTGATTTATTAAAAGACGAGATTCTTTCGTGGGTCAATATGCCTGGTAAGTTGGACAATAATGATATACATTGGCGAAGTAATAATTAGTTGATAGAATCCATGTCTCGTTTTTTTTTTGAGATTGATGATACTCCTTTATGAAAGCTTATAAGTTTTCATGTATAAACCCGGCCGGTGAATTTTGTATCCGATACATGAAATAAATTAAGTGAAAGCCTAAAGAAAGTAATCAATAAATTAAATTGTCAGTAATTTAATTTGATTGGTTAGTATCTCAATCTTAGCATGGGGAGTTAAATAAGGTTTTATGGAAGAATTTCGAAATTGAACTAAGGAGCGCAATTACGAATTTTTAGTGTAATAATTCGTAATTTATTATGGTAGAAATTAATTTCAAAATTTCGAAATTAATTTCATAATAGGAAGCCTTGTTAATTAAATTCTGTGGTCCCTACTGTGCCTGAATAATAGGAAATAAAGAAAACCTTTCCTTAGTGGAAGAAGAAAATCTAACAGGTTTTGGAAAAGTGTTTTGACCTAAAAAACGTAGCTATATATACATGATATATAGCTGGCCATTTTTTGCACTAAAAATAACACGTTTTTCTTCCTTGAATTCCGCCCACCCGAAGTTCTCTATTTCCGGTTTTTATTTGGGTAACACAGTAGAAGACTGTGGAAGGTTGCTGAGGTCTTGCAATTCTGGAACTGAGAAGGATATCGATTTGCTTTGTTCATGCTTCAAGAGGTAATTCGTATAATTTCCGCATGTACTAATTGTTTAATTTACACGTGAATAAGATACTGTAATTCCTTCCGCTGCGATATATATTCCATCAACTGGCACTGGTAAAGTTAGGTAAATATTTCATGTATATATGTTTAAAAAATAATGATATATACCCCGACCTGTTGACTTTATCGTCTTTCACATGCATGAAATGGAAAAGGCATGCAATAAGAAAGTGAATAAAACCATTCAATATATACACAAGAAATCAAGTAGCGCAGATCTCGATTTGTCGACAGACGACCACAGCTCAAGTCTTCCTTACTTTTGTTATAAACTCAGCTCCTTTTTCTCAATGATTTGGCAGAATAGCCTAAATGGCACCTGTACTTCACCCATCTTGTCATGCCGGTCTCCAAAGTTAGACATTTGCCAACTGAACACTTATACTCATTCAAAACGTGAATAATAAACGCTTATCCAACGTAGCTGCCAGTGCGTGTATGACAATCGCATACACGTAGGACGCCACGTCAATAATTAGAAGACCACGTAGGCTCCAAGTCACACAACATGGCCAAATAGGATTAAAAATCGGCCCAAGATTATTTAACCCCCAAACCCACATTTGCCCCAGTGAGTGTCTCCTCTCTTCTCTTCTGTGATTTCTCTGATGAGGTTATTCTTCACTTTCCGACTTCAGTTCTTTCTCGATTACCAAACTGGCTGATAAAGACTCCCCAAACTTGCTGAAAATTACTCCCACTAAGAGACAACATTCTCAAGCTTGTCAAATTACCCAAAAACTGTGGAATCAAACCAGAAAACCTATTCCCACCAAGGTCAAGTATCCACAATGAAGCAAGATTCATTATACTCTCAGGAACTTCACCAGTTAAGCTATTGTTAGCCAATCTAAACTCAATGATCCTAATAGCATGAGGAGCATTGACAGATGACCCATTACAGAAAAATGATGCAGGGACCACCCCAGATAGTTGATTTCGCGACAGCGAAATTACTTGTAAACTAGAAAGTGAACCAATTGTAGCGGGGATTAATCCCTGCAGATTATTATCACCAGTGCTTAAGTGTATTAATGAGGATATGTGGGCTTGAAATTGATTCGGGATGTTGTTAGAGATTACCTAGACCTGGAAACTTTGCACATTATAGCCGCGACAATTTTCTAATGGAGGTTTGAATTGGAATGGCGGCAGTAGCTTATTTGTTGGAGGAGAAGCAGAAAAAATCGACTTTTAAAACAAAAGGATATGGCAAAAATTGATGGGCAACGAAGAATCACAGGAAAATAAAATTCTATTTTTTCACTGTTGAAGCTAACAAACAAAGAAGGAGGCATCAGATTTGCTAAATTTAACTTTTATATTGTTCAACAATGGAGAATAAGGTAGAAAGAAGAAGATGGTTGTTAAATAGGCTAATTTATTACCTTTAGGGCTTTTTTAAATATCTTCACGCCCCTTACAAGCGTGTGAATCACGCACTGAAGCCACATATGACACATAGGATAAGCCACGTTGGACAAGCATTTATTATTCACGTTTTGAATGAGTATAAGTGTTCAGTTGACAAATGTCTAACTTTGGGGACCGGCATGACAAAGTGGGCGAAGTACAGGTGCCATTTAGGCTATTCTGTCCAATGATTTTAATGTTCATTTTATAGTACAGTACTACCCCTTTCCCCACATTCCCAACCAAAAAATAAGAAAAATAGCAAACTGAATACCATTATCTGCTACTGATATACTCCATTTTTTAAGAAAGAATTCCATCTTTTCTTATCCCTTTCTTTTTATATTTCTTAGAGCTATTCTATACTGATGTGACATTAGCTAAAATCACAGCAGCATAGCTTTTGCTAAGTCGCATATGGTAACTGGATTGGCACTGGGCTTAAGTTTTCTACCTAATCGAAGTAAGTTACTGTACATTATTAATTGCAGTATCTTCTTTCTTCTGCTGATAAAGAGAAAATTAACTTGTTAATTCTTCAATGTAATACAAATTACAGCTATAGATGTGTGCCAACTGCAAAGTGATCGATTAGTTGAAAAATCATGTTTTCTATTAGGTGTTTGTCTAGATTTTCTTACCATAATTGGTTTTACTATTTCATGAAGGAAAGGACAATATATTTATCATAATTGAGTTTTTCTTTTCCTAGAAGGAAAATATAATTCTTCCATATTTGGCTAGTTCCTTTTCTTGTAGGAAAAAGTTTGGAGTTCTATAAATTGAAGATCCGTACTTCTCATTCAGTAGCATCCACAATGTAGCCACATGGGGTTTGAGAGTCGTGTTTAGGGGGAGAACTTTACGGGACAAGTGTTAGTTTGTCAGTTGTGTTTTCCTCTTCGTGAGTTTGTTCTCTCGATATTTTGTACTCTCCTTTATTATAGTGGATTGCTCATCTCCGCGCCGTGGATGTAGGTCAGTTGACCGAACCACGTTAAATGTTTGCATCTCTTTTGATATATTTCTCTTTTGTTGTCGGACTTATCATCTTTCAAGGTTTGCTTTGCTATATTCCGCATGACACCTGATTTTTTTGGTCCTAACACATTCAACCATAGCAAATGTTCAATTGGATCATATCTTTGTAAAGAATTAATCAATTTAGGCGTCATTATACCTCAATGTACAGATTCGAAGTCCACCTTGAATATTCATAGCTTCCAAAAGCATTTCATCAACCATTGGTAGGAGCGGAACTAGCGGGGGTTCAAATGAATTCCTCCTTCTTCCTTTAGTACCCCCTAGGATATTCCTTATGTCAAGTTACTTTTGCTCCAATCTCGTGTGGCTGCTGTTTTACTGTTGTTTGCATGTTTTTGTTGTGATGGCATGTTGTACTTAACCATTACTGCTCCTGAATTACTCAATCCAATGTAAACATTAATGAAACAGCTTCCTTTTTGTTGCATGTATAACACTGTGTTCCTCTGGCTTCTCTTTTCTGTCATGTTGTGTGCATATATGTGGCATGAGCTAGCTGTGTTAGACTTCTTTATGCTTATTACCTGTGTGTGCTCTTCGTTCTACTAGCTGTTCTTTTTAATGATGCCAAAAGGAGAAAAATAGATGGGATTGGGTTGAGAAGATTAAGGGGGAACTATGCATGTGATAGATGGTCTCTAAGTTTGGGTTGAGAAGATTAAGGGGGAACTATGCATGTGATAGATGGTCTCTAAGTTTGGCGATCTAAGATTAAGGGGGAACTGGGGAACTGCTGACGTCTCATCTGGATTAATATTCTGATCTAAACAAATGCTTTTCATCTCTAAGTTTGTCATCATCAAAAAGGGGAAAATTGATGGGTTTTCAATGTCTTAGCCTTATACTTCTTATGTTTTGATGATCTAACAAACTTGTTATGAAGAACCAGATAGAGAACCTTGTCCCATAGGATACACATCTCATGTGAAATACTCTCGAAGTCAGAAAATCAGCGAATGGATCAACGACCATAGGGAGGAACAGAACAGGGACCCGATGCGTTGGTCCTTTAGGGTTCTCCGACAAAAAGCACAAGTCAGTGACTGTACGCATTCAATATAAAGAGAAACACAACAGGGACCTGCTCCCTTGGGGTTCTCTGACAAAAGTACAGGTCAAGTGCACAGCTGGAACGTAGCAGAAGAAAGTGACCATCTGGCAACTGTTACAGAAGAGGAACACAACCAGGACCTGGTCCGTTGGTGTGTCCTGACAGAAGTACAAAGTCCACTATCCAGCTGGAACGCAACTGCCCAGAAGTGGATGTGCAGACTGTGCAGCAATCACTTCTCACTGGGAAGAAGTACACCAAGAGTTGACATCACTACCCATTGTGATATCTTTTGTGATAAAACAACCTGGTGCAAGACACACTTCACTTGTGCATTCAGTGATATTCTTTCAAGCAAAAGAAGTATTGATCTGGCATTGAAGTCACTGGTGCGTCAAGAACAAGAAGACAACTCCACTAAGGATCAGTTTCTAGCAAAGTCGTATGTTTGTCCATAGTTGAGTTGTAATCTTGTTAATTGCTCTACATTGTAATTCCTAGTTTGCTTTCTTAGAAGCACTGTTTTAGGAACAAACAAAATTCGTAAACCTTAGAGTTTATGTTGTGACTAGTAGTAGTCATAAGTTAAATTCTCTGTAACTAGGAGAGTTATAGAGTGGCTTGTGGTGGTGCATCACAAGTTAGTTTGAAACCTTTGCAATCGGAAGTATTGTAAAGTGGTTTGTAATAGATAGATTACAAGTTAGTGAGTTTAAAGCCTACAGGTGTAGGTCGTGGTTTTTTGACCCCCTTGTGTGGGATTTTTCCACGTAGAAAATCTCTTGCCTTCTTTACATTCAACAGTTACTGCATTCTAAGCATTAGCTCGTAGAGGACCAGATACACTATAGTTTGGCGGACTCATACAGGCTATCAATAACTTTACGCGTACTAGGCGTGCTGAAGCATCATCCAATTGATCAATTGTCCAACTATCCAAATCCTCGCTCTTCTTCAGATCGTACACATCATCGATCATGCACCATTGAACACTTCGCGGCCATCTACTTTCCACCTTTTAATTTTGTCAAAAATGTTTGAAACGTAATATTATCCTGCAAGTAATGAAAATCAATATCTTCAGAGCATTTTGGACACAAACATAATTCATGCATTTTATTGATTCCATAACCCAATAAACAGTGAATACTCCACTATTGATAATTTCTAATGTTACCCATATTTTTTTTTACAGATGCATTCATGCCTAGACATTGCAATTATACACCGGACAAACAAACATGTGAGACCTCACAACTATTTGTTTCCAATTTCCAAAGAGCAAATGAGGGATGAAAATCTCCATTATGATGTATTTGCCATAACTTATAAAGTAGGCAAAACAAGTGTCTTGTTAAACTCCATTTCTTTCAGTACTAATCGAAACACGCATAATTTTTGTTCTTCTAAAAACTAAACTTGAAAACTTCAGTTAACCAACTGTGGAACCAAAATCTAAAATGAGCCTGTGGTATCTATCAAGGAGGAAATTTGCAACATGGGAATAAAGGAATCAGGTCCAGAGTTGGGAAAGTAGGAACGAACATCGCTATCACATATCCAGACTAAGTCATCTCTATTCGAGTATAATGAGGCTAGCCAGCATAGTGATTCTAAGTTAAGCGAAGTCAAGGAAGACGTTCAACCAGGTAAAGGCAAGGACTTTACACTAGACAACGAGGGTAGTAATGTACACTATTACAGATGAGTTGAGGAGAATTGTATCAGCAAAGGCACACTACTCGTAAGTGTACATTACATCCATGTTGTACCGAAATGTTCTAAGATATATAACAAATATAATGCTGGAAAGGAATGAAGAAATATATAGCAAAATTTGGTGTCTATGTATATGCCTCGTCAACAAATCAAAGTTGAGCACCAAAAGCCAGCAGCGTTACACCAGTACATTGAGATACCAAATGGAAGTGGAATAGGGTTATCATGGGGTTTCAATACCTCACATGGGCCCGCAGTTGATGTCTCACTAGTGGTGGACATCCTAGGACGCCTTGGCTGCACGATTCATCTAAGTACGACTTTTAGCTTTTAGTAGATGGACAGTTTGATCGGACCATAGAGATCCTAGAAGATAAGTAAGAAGCATATGTCATCAAACTTGGGGGCAATTGGAGTGGATGCTTGCTCTTGATAAAGTTCACATATAATAATGGCTACCAAGTTAGCATACAGATGGAAGAGACAATACCTCTCCTTTGTTGGAAGGTTGACATTGGTGAATAATGTACTTGATGGAATGCCGATATATTTAATTTCAACGATACCTACACCAACCAGGGTGGAAGAGCATCTAAACAGAATCAGGCGCAATTTTCTGTGGGAAGGTAATCAAGAAACTAAGAAAATTCATTTGGTTAAATGGTAGAAGGTTATGTTGAGTAAGGAAGGAGGAGGCTTGGTTGTAAGGAGTTTGGGGTTCATAATAAAAGTTTGTTATTCAAATGGCATTGGAGATTTGAATGATCCTAAGAAGGATCAATGGAAGGAGGTTATCAAGCTTAAATATGGGCTCAAGAACTATGGGAACATAATTCCGATTTCAGTCCCACATGGTTTTGCACAATGGAAATTTATTAAAAACTTATGGGCAAAGAATAAAACTATGACAAGATAGATTGGCATGGCGAACAAGCTTTGAGGGATGTTTTTCCTGATCTATATAGCATAGTCTTAACAAAAATATTGTGTCATAGCAGATTTTTGGGGTCGTAATGATTGGAATTTTAAGTTTAGAATGAATTTAAACGATGGGGAATTAGAGAATTCTAGTAATAAATTTTTGGCCACTCTTGGCTGCATCTTTTTGAAGGACTTAATGCATGATTCAATGTGGTGGAAAGGCTGCAAGGATCGAAAGTTTACAGTAAGCTCAACTTATCATTTACCGGGCAGTAGTATATGGTGGAGTATACATAGGACAGATTGGCCATGGAAATCACTATAGAAGACTAGAACTCCAACTAAAGCCGCTTGCTTCGGATGGGTGGCAACACATCAAGCATGCCTTTACGCAAGAACAATTGCAAAAGAGAGGTATCAGCTTATGTGGATAGTGCTACTTGTGCAAAGAAAATGGCAAGACAGTGAATCATCTTCTTTTACATTGTATGGCAAATTTGGTGTATGTTTCTTAACTTGTATGGGATTCAGTAGGTCATGCCAGCAAATGTGAAATAAGTGCTAAGCAATTGGCAAAACCAGATGATAAGGAGGACCTTTCCTTTATGCATATTCTACAATGCTTGGCTCGAGAGGAACAAAAGATGATTCGAGGGGAAAGAAGAGAAAACTTTGTTGCTGAAGAACAGATGCATCCAAAGTTTAAAATTTTTGCTGGATTTTCTGGTAACATTACAGCTTTAGAGTATTCCTACCTAGCGTCGTTGTACTTAGTCCCAGTACCAGCTAAGTTCCATTTTTAGCTTTAGCAAGCCTGTGACCCGCAATATTCACTGTGCCAAGGTAAACTCCAATTGTTGATAAATTGCTTTTGGAAGCTATGAATACTCAAGGTGGACTTAGAATATGTATAACAACAACCAGGGGCGGAGCTAGCCCATCGAGTTCGGGTTAGACCGAACCCAGTCGTTTTAGTCCAATCCATGTATTTGTCTTAAAAATCTATTAAATATGTTCAAATTATTAATTTAGAACCCAGTAACTTAAAAGTATTAGAACCCTGAACTCATAAACTTCAAATCCTAGCTCCGTCTCTGACAACAACAACAACAACAACCCAGTGGGAGGTAATGTGTACGCAAACCTTACCCCTACCCTGAAGGGAAAAGAGGCTGTTTCAGAAAGACCCTCGGCTCGAGAGACTTAGTATATGTATATTGAGCTATAATCAATGCCTAATTGATTATTCTCTTAATTTTATAAGGCTATGATTCAATTGACATTTGCTAAAGCATACTTTTCCAACTAAAGGGGACAAGTACTTTCAACTAAATCTATATCTATAATGAACAAAAACGTACAGACATAGTAATTTGTATTACATTGAAGAATTAACTAGTTAATATTCCCTTTATCAACAAAAAAAAAAAGACACTGCAATAATTAATGAACAGTAACTTACTTCGATTTGGTAGAAAACTTAAGCCCAGTGTCGATCGAGTTATCCAATATTTGCGTGTAATTTTAGAAGTCCACATATGCCAAAAAGCAAAAGCTACGCTGCTATGATTCAATGAAGAATAAGTATAAGAAATATAATTGTAAGCAAATGCACTATGGGAACTTAATTTTTCCAAAGCTGGAAATAAATATAACTTCGAAACCCAAACACATTTGTACAGTAACTGAAAGCCAAATTCACAGTAAACAGAAACCTGAAGTCTGCAACTAAAGCAAAAGGATGGAGGATAAAAAGCTAACCTTTGGTATTCACTTTGCTATTTTTCTTCTTTTTTTTTTTTTTTTTTTTTTTTTTAAATACTATTTAATGCACATTAAAATCATTGAGAAAAAGGAGCTCAGTTCATAGCAAAAGTAAGGAAGACTTAGCTGTGGTCGTCTGTCGACATACCGAGATTTGCGCTGCCTGATTTCTTGTGTAATATATTGGTTAGTTCTATCATTTCTTTTTTACTGCATTCCCTTCCTTCCATATGCTGCATGGAAAATTTTTATTTTGTGCCTCACACAACTGGCACTAATTGTGCGAGGCCTCTTTTCGTCTCACAACTTTGTGATCCCAGAATTTTGTGGACCCAAATGTGTAAGGATATGGATCCACAAATGTGTGAGATAAAAAGACGCCACACAAGACTAATCATAAAATCACTCTGCTTCATGCATGTGAAACATGGTAGAATAGGTAATAAACAATGATTATTAGGAAGACTTAATTAACTTATAGTAGTAGATAATATAATTAAGGCTTAATACATAATTTCACCCGAAATTGCATATTACAACATCTAGTTGAGAGGGGGTAAAAACCCGTACCGGATGTTTACACCAAACCAATAGATATATGACATGTGTTTTGCATATGAACTTCAATCATTTAACCATGGTAAATTACATGCATTCTCATCTAATTAAATTAATTAACCATAGTGAGTTAATATAGTTTGGTGTAAACACCCGGTGTGGGTAAGCACTTTCTGGCGCTGCTATTAGAGTTTGGCTGTTTTTTCAAATGCAATGGCGAAGTACCCATCGGTCCGACTAAATTAATATTTTTGCCTCAAAATAAAACACGAAACATAACTCCGACAATCAATACTGGAGTTCGAAGTCTCAGGAATATTGATTCTTGATTTTTGAGCTTTTGCTAGTGTAAAATCCAAGAACGATTTCTGGAGTTCAAAACAAGGTATCTGAAACAATGTAAAAGAGTTCAAACTCCAGCAATCGTTACTGTCTTTTGAACCTATAAAGGTTTGAAACCCAGTAATCTTCATTGGCATTTGAACTTATAAAGGTTTGAACAAACCCCAATAATCGTTGATGGGGTTTGAACCTATAAATTGAACCACAATAATTATTGCTGGGGTTTGCACCTATAAAGATTTGAACCCCAGTAATTATTGCTGGGGTTTGAACCTATAAAGATGGCTTATCATGAATTAGGTCGGGGCGACTGGTGGTTTCGGGATCCCGTAGAAAATGTCGTGGGATTTGAACCTAAAAGAAATATTTCACCAACGGTACCTCTTTTGAACTCAAGGATAATATCCTGGAGTGTTAACTTGTAGAAGTTAGAACTCCATGATTGTGTCCCGGAGTCAAAATAAGGTACCATCACTAGGGGTGTTCATAAAAACCCGAAAAGCCGAACCAAACCGACCAAAAAAATTAATACTTTTTGGTTTGGTTTGATTTTGGTTTGGAATTTTAAAAACCGATCAAATTTGGTTTAGTTTGGTTTTGGTTTTAATCAAAAAATAACCGAACCAAAAACCGACCATAGGAGTAGCTATTTTAAATTTATTATTACACCTATATATATGTATATTTTTATACAAAGTTTCAAATTTTTTATGGTGAATGTTAATCGTTTGCACTTTTAGTACATTTTTTTACCTTTATATTCTAGTTTGATTGGTAGTTTTCTTTTGTTAAGTGTAAGAATCCATTTTATATTAAAAAAAATATATTTTTAATTGAGTCCTTAAATTATTCATCACTATTTGATTCAATTATCATCAATATATTTTAGTAAATAATAGATTTCTCAAAGGGCAATTGATTTGATAGTGTTACGTTAAAAATGTGGTTGCTGGAATATATGTGTTTTGTAGCGTATGTCTTATATTTAAGAAAAAACCGACAAATAACCGAAAGAACCGAAAAACCGACAAAATCCGACATAAACGGAACCGAGAAAAAACCGACTTAGTTGGTTTGGTTTGGTTCAAATATTTAAAAAATCGACTTACTTGGTTTGATTTTTTTTTAGGAAAAAACCGATCCAAATCGAATCATAAACACACCTAACCATCACTGGAGTTTGAACCTATAAAGGTTTGAAATCCAGTACAATATGATGAAATTTACTTTTAAAAGCTTTGAAGTCCGATATCGTGTATTTTGAATTTCACATGTAGAGGCTAAAGTCTAATAGCTTTTTAAGTCGTGGCTAAATGCTAATAGCAAGGGTAAACGCTGGCTAATTACCTCTATTATTCGGGGGAGAAGGGCAGCCCGATGCACTAAGCTCCCGCTATGCGCGGGGTCCGCGGAAAGGCCGGACCACAAGAATTTATTGTAAGCTGCCTTATCCTGCATTTCTGCAAGAGGTTATTTCCACGGCTCGAACCTGTGACCTCTTGGTCACATGGCGACAACTTTACCAGTTACGTCAATACTCCCGTTCTATCCCGGGAAATTTCAATAATATAGGCCCAAATGTATGCCCAATAGTAATAGGGGCATTTGCATCTATACCCGTTTTTTGTGCCACGTTTTAACTTGTGCCCGCTTTGCAAAAAATTGCAAGCGTACCCGTTTTTTCGCATAACTTCAGCATACGGGGCTGAAGTAGCAAAGGTAATCACGCAAAACTTTAGCATTCTAGTAGCCGGGCCTGAAGTTCAGCTCTAGAGCTGAAGTTTTTGTGTTTGTAACTGGAGAACTTCAGCTCTAGAGCTGAAATTTTATCTTTGTAACTAGGGAAACTTCAGCTCTAGAGCTGAAGTTATTGTATTTGTAACCGGGGAACTTCAGCTCTAGAGCTGAAGTTTTTGTTTTATAACTGGGGAAGCTGAAGTTCTTGTTTTATAACTGGGGAACTTCAGCTCTAGAGCTGAAGTTTTTTTTGTTTTATAACTGAAGAACTTCAGCTCTAGAGCTGAAGCTTTTGTTTTATAATTGGGGAACTTCAGCTCTAGAGCTGAAGTTTTTGTTTTATAACTGGAGAACTTCAGCTCTAGAGCTGAAGTTATTTAGTTCATCACTAGTCTACATTTGCTTACAGAAACACGACATTGGATACAATACACGCATAGGCACCATTGCAACAAGGATAGTTAGACCAGAGCTCAATTTTAGAACCAAAACTGTTCATTGGCTTTCTGAAACAAAGTAAAAATTTCTGCACAGCGACAGATGCAAAATTAATCCAACGACGGCGAAAACCTTTGATCCTGTTTGTGCCTGGAGCATCAAACCATTTACAATTTTTCTTCTAAATTTTAATTTTTCATTCACTATTCAGGTTCAACAACTAATTAAGGATTGTTCAGTTAATCATCTAGGTGCCGCTTTAAATAATTAGTTTATAATTTTATTTTTAAATAATCTGATAAACATATTTATGGTAATCATCCCATGAATTGAAGTTCCATAGCAACACCAACAACAGTAGAAGAAAGAAGAAGAAGAAGAAAACGAAGGAGGAGAAGGAGGAGGAGAAAGGGAGCTGAAGTTATTTAAAAAGTGGGTACAAGTTAAAAGTTTAAAAAAAAAATGGGTATAGGTTAAATGGGGGCGACCAAATAGGGCGCCCCGTGCAATTTTTACATAGTAATACATGGACGCTAAGAATGTAATGTAGGCCCAATAGTAATAAGAGACTAATAAGAAACTGTTGGGCTTTTTGACTGACCAGCCCACTCAAAATTTGAGTGGACAACATTTTCTTGGGAGAAATTCAAAAATAGCCAGATTTACCACTGGTCGTTGAAAAATAGCCAAGTTTCAAAAGTCATCGAAATTTAGCCACTTTAAATCTGAGCGAAAACACTGTTCAAAATCCGAAAAAATACGCCCGCAAATTTTACGGGAGTTCCAGCATAAGTATGCTTGAACTCCTGTAAATTTTACGGGAGTTCCAGGATAACTATGCTGGAACTCCCGCAAATTTTACGGGAGTTCAAGCATAATTATGTTGGAACTCCCGCAAATTTTACGGGAGTTCCAGCAAGTATAATTGTCCAGTATAATATACTGGAGTTTGGAGCACTGGTGCTCCAGTCTCCCGCAAATTTTACAGGAGTTAGCAAAGTATACCGGTCCAGCATAATATGCTGGAGTTCGTACACAAATGCACCAGAACTCCCGTATATTATACTGGACCGGTCCCTGTTGCAGCAAAATAGTGGCTATTTTTCATTGACTTGATAAACACTGGCTATTTTTCATTGACCAGTGTGAAAACTGGCTATACCATGGTATTTTGCCCATTTTCTTAGATCATCTTGATGGGCAGGGGCTTGATTCCAGTCCAGTTCTCTTGATTTTTCTTTTTTTTTTGTGCCTATTTTGAGGTGTAAATATTTGGGAGACTTACACAAATGTTCCAAATAAGTCTTAACTTACCAACCTCTAGCCATTAGTCATAGACTTACCAAAACTAGCCAAGCACATATAAAAATTTAAAAACCAAATAAATAAGGTTCTTTCTCTCAAAGAATCACATGCAAAAGTCTCCTTTTTAGAAACATTTGATGCAAGACGGAAAGGAAATTTCATGGACGAGGTAGCAAATAAGGTGATGAAATACAATATTCAAAAAATCTAAGCATAAAAAGAACTTTTTCAATGGGTATAGTTGAAATTCATTGAAAACATATAGATAAGTCAATATACAAAATTTGAGGAGGATTATAAGTGATTTTGACTGATTTTGTATCAAAATTCGTAATTAAATCGAGTTCAAAAAATTCTTCTGCGACACATGCATCAAACATGTATCACATGTATCTCACACATAGGTATACATGGATATACATGTGATGCGCCACTGATACAACTATGATACATATGTGATACGCAAATGATACACAGTGTGATACACATATCATTTTTTTAATGTTCAGCTTTTACTTCGAATTTTCAATTCAAACCACCTCAAAACTTCACCAAATCATTCCAAAACTGAGATTGAAACTCCTTAAGATGTACCCAATCTATTCTAATAACACATACTCAAAAGAAAGCAAAAATTTGACCATTTTTGTTACAAATAGCTAATTAGCTAATATTGGTAATATTTGGCTAATATTAGTAATATTTTATGAATCGGCCAATTTTTATAATGAACTAATTATAAATGGACATAGCTGGTAGTTTTCCTAAATATTCCACAATTTTGGTAAGTAAAT